GAGGGCGGCCCCGTCGGCCTTGCCCTTGTGGCGGACGAGCTCGTAGAGGAGGTCGATGGGGGCCCCGCTGCTCTCCGACTCGGCCACGCCCAGCTGGCGCAGGTGGGAGCGCGCGTGGCTCGACAGCCCCTTGCGCGTCTCGAAGCAGGCGCCGCACACCTCGCACGTCGTCAGGCTCTGGGCTGGGAACGGCACGGAAAACAAGGAAATCAGGGAATGGCTGGGGTAGGAGGTGCTGGTGACCCAGTCCTGGGATAGCTGGGCCACCCACAACCCGAGTTTTGAGCCCTCGGGATGTTCCTGCCCCCAAACACCTCGCACGTCGTCAGGCTCTGGGCTGGGAACGGCACGGAAAACAAGGAAATCAGGGAATGGCTGGGGCAGGAGGTGCTGGTGACCCAGTCCTGGGGGAGTTGGGCCACCCACAATCCCAGTTCTGAGCGCTGGGAGGATGAATTCGGGATGTTCCTGCCCCCAAACACCTCGCACGTCATCAGGCTCTGGGCTGGGGACGGCAGGAAAACAGGGAAATCAGGGAATGGTTGGGGCAGGAGGTGCTGGTGATCCAGTCCTGGGGGAGTTGGGCCACCCACAACCCAAGTTTTGAGCCCTCAGGATGTTCCTGCCCCCAAACACCTCGCACGTCGTCAGGTTCAGGGCTGGGGACAGAATGGAAAACAGGGAGAAAAGGGAAATTAGGGAATGGTTGAGGTAGGAGCATGAGGGGCAGTGGATGGACACGCTGGTGATCCAGTCCCAGGGGATTTAGGTCAACCACAACCCAAATTTTGAGCATTGGGATGGTGAACTTGGGATACTCCTGGCCCCAAACACCTCGCACATCGTCAGGCTCTGGGCTGGGAACGGCAGGAAAACAAGGAAATCAGGGAATGGCTGAGGTAGGAGCATGAGGGGCAGTGGATGGACACGCTGGTGACCCAGTCCTGGGGGAGTTGGGCCAACCACAACCCGAGTTTTGAGCCCTCAGGATGTTTCTGCCTCCAAACACCTCGCACGTCGTCAGGCTCTGGGCTGGGAATGGCAGGAAAACTGGGAAAAGCCAAAAGTCAGGGAATGGCTGAGGTAGGAGCACGAGGGGCAGTGGATGGACGAGCTGGTGCTCCAATCCCAGGGGGTTTTTACAGCCCCAAACCTTCGTTTTGAGGACTGGGACGATGAACTCGGAATTCCCAGGGAATATCCCGAGGGATATTTACCACCCTCAACCCTAATTCCGGATGTTCCACACACTCCTGGAATACCAGGCAGGAATACCCCAAGGGATTTTGACCACCCCCCCCTCCCAAGCCCTGGTTTTGGGCATTGGGATGGTGAACTCTGGAATATCCCGAGGGATTTTATGGGATGGTGAACTCTGGAATATCCCGAGGGATTTTATGGGATGGTGAACTCTGGAATATCCCGGGGGATTTTATGGGATGGTGAACTCTGGAATATCCCAGGGGATGTTTATCGTCCCCAACCCCAATTTAGAGCATCGGGATGCTCCACACATCCCTGATATCCCAGTGGATTTTATCAAGCCCATCCCTAATTCAGGATGCTTCACAAATCCCTGAGCAGGCAGGAATATCCCAAGGGATTTTACCACCCCAATCCCTAATTTTGAGCTTTGGGATGCTCCACCATAACCCTACATGAGGGGGGAATATCCTGAGGGATTTTATCACCCCCATCCCTAATTCTGAGCATTAGGATAATGAACTCTGGATATTCCTGCCTGCAGGCCAGAATTCCCAGGGGCAGGAATATCCCCGAGGATTTCACCACCCCCATCCCTAATTCTGGACGCTCCACCCCCCCCTGCACGGGCGGGAACGACCTGGGAAGAGCGAGCAGGGCCGTGGGAGGACGAGGATCGCTGCTCCAGAGCGGGAGAGGCCGCTTTTCCCGCTCCAGGATGTTTTCCCAGAGGGATTTGGAAGGCCAGCAGGGAGGGTTCGGGACCTCAGAGGGATCTCAAAGGGATCATTTTGGGGGGAGGTCACTAATTAGGAGAGGGAGGGCTGATTGAGGGAGGGCAGGTCGGTCCCAGAGAACTCTGGAAAACCTGAGGGAAGGAAAAGCACTGGGAATTGCAAACCTGGAGCAGGACACAACCGCCCTCTTAATTAACACACTAATTAACTAAAAGGACCCGGGAAATCCTCCTGGATGGGGTCAAACAGGCTCCGTGCCGGTGCCAGGATGTGGGATGGGAGGGGAATCCCGGGAAAACACCCACCTTTGGCGTCCGGAGGCTCCGGTTTGCTCCCGGGCGGCTCCGGGGACAGTTTGGTCCCGATCCGGGGCGGGGGCGGGTCCAGCTGAGCGGAGCTTTTTTTCGGGATGGGAGGGGGGGAAGTCACTTCCATGGCCACCAGCTCGTCCTCC